TCTTTTTCTGAGTTTTCATTGCAACCACTAAAATAAAAAAAAACTTAAAAAAAAAAAACAGGCGAGGGGGAGGCAAGCGCTGCCCCCCCCCTCCTTTTCTTCCTCGGAGGGAGAAGGAGATGATTTTCGGAGGAGAGGAAAAAAAAAATTAAAAAAAAATAAAAAAAAAAAAAGGAGAAAAAAAATATAAACCCCTCGGTGTCTCCGGAGTTTCTGCTCTCGTGCCCTCGCTCGGTGCCCGCGGCGCCCCGCGGGCTCGCGCGGGGCTCGGCAGGAGGGCGCGGGGTGCCCGGCGCGCGCCCCGCGCCCGCCGCCCCCTCCGCGCTCGCCCCTGCGCAGCCTGCGCGCCGCGGGCACTGACAGCGCCGAGAGCGAGCGGAAGACATTAGCGCAGCGCGCTGCCGAAAAATGGGGGAAAAAAATTAATATAAATTCACCCCGCGGCGCAAACCGCCCGGATTTCGCACAGAAATTTCCCCCGCGGAGCCGGCTACCCGCGGGGTGTCCCCCGGAGCCGGCAGCTCCCTCTTTGGGGGGCTCCGGAGGCACTTTGGGGCGCTCACCCCCCCCCCCCCCCTCGGCTGCGTTTTTTTTTTTTTTCGGACAAAAGTTTCTTTTTCTCGTAATAAAGAAACGAATTCGGCGGCGCGGCCCCTGCGGGCGGCGCGGGGGCTCGTGCCCGGCCCGTGGGTGCGCGCGTGGGGAGAGGTGCGGAGCGGCGCGGAGCGGCCGTGGGGAGGGGGGACTGCTAACTGAAAGCAGGAGAGATCCGGAGAGAGAGAGAGCGAGAGAGAGAGCGAGAGAGAGAGAGCGCGAGAGAGCGAGCGCAGGGACAGCTTGTTGTCAGTATCATAAACAACCAAAATGGAGGGAGAACTGAGGCATATAACAAAATAAAAATCGGAAAAAAATGCCAAAAAATACCTAAAAATCGGGGCTGCGCCCCCTTTTCTTCCTCGAGGTAACAGAATAAAACCCGAGGCTTCCCGAGCCCGTTTTAAGGTTTCAGGGAGCAAGGAGTTAATATTTATTATTTTTTTTTTGTTGATGAATTCTTTGGAGAGGCAAAAGCCACTTGTAACTCGCCACCGACAATGAGAAAACGTGAAAATCCCTTTCAGGAGAGAGAGGTAGGGGGAGATGATAGTGCAGAAAGTGCAGAACTTTGGGGCAGTGTGGAGTGATCCCAGATAAGATAAATGCTGCATTTGCTGCTTCACAGCCTCCCTTTCTAGGGCTTTTTTTGGGTGTGTTTGGGGGATTTTGGGCGACGGGGGCTCTCCCCTTCCCCTCTGCCTTTTATTTTCCTGCCTTTTCCCCCCTTTCGGGGCGGAATGCAGTGCCTTTGTAGTGTCCCTTTCCTGATCTAATTAGGATGTGTGAAGCAGCGAGCAAACCTTTCCGGTTTGTACCGTGCCTTGCTCCTCGCCTCTCCATGTGCAGCCTTCCCGGTGGCTCCCTGCTCCCTCCAGAGCGGATTCCTCGGAGGAGCCGGGGCTGGAGGGCTCCTCGCGGGCTGCCCTCGCCTGCCCCCGTGCCCTGCCAGGAGGCACCCGCCGCTCTCCSGGCTTTGTCCCTGTGAAACACGGGTGATGCCTCCCCGTGCCTCGCGTGGAACTCAGTGGGAAAGTGCTGCTGGTGTTGGCTCCACGTGGGAGCAGGGACACAGCAGGGCATTTTAAAGAGACAGCTGCTCTTTTCCTGCAGTTATCATCACCTCTGCCTCTGCCGGAGGGGTGGCTTGGATTTTTTTTTCCCCCCTTTTTATTTATTTATTTTTTTAAAGGTATTAAATCGGCCCTGATCTGATAAATTAATGCAGCCCTATGGGACACACACGCACATGCAGATTCATTCGGATCCACGCACTTATTCTGTGTATAGCAGGTTTCCTGGGGAGTTTTCTGGCGTGTTGATTAAAATGCTGTGTTTTGGAGGATGTTTTCTTGGAATGGGCGTTGCAGACGTGAAAGAGTTTAAGGTTGCTAGTGTTAAAAGCTGGTGGTGTCCCGCCTGCTCTGAGCTCCCCGAGAGGAGACCAGTGTGGGCAGCCCCCTTTCCCGGGCCCTTTGCAGSAGTCGTCGCGTGCATTATTTTTGCTTGAGATAGCTCCAGCTTTGCTGGAGACACCTGAGCTTGTTCGAAAGTATTGCAGAGCTGAAATATGTACTGAAGCCTTCCAAACAGCTCCCCAAAGTTTTGAAAAGAGTGGAAATAACTGCAGGTTTTAAAGGACCGAAATAGGGACTTTTTCAAAGCACACCTTAGGTGTGCAATTATAACATCCCGTGGAAGAATTACTTTGTTTATTTTTTTTAAATCGTCTCAACTGTGGTCTGGTTTCATGTGTGTGTGTGCATGCGTGCTTTTAGCGTGTGCTTTGGCTCATGCAGTTTTTTTGCTTTATTTTTTTGACTTGCAAATGTTCAGCTGTAATGATGCGAAATGTTTTGCTTGTCTGTATTGCCTCCTAAGGATTTTAACTTACAGGAAAATGTTGTGTTAAAAAATTACAATCATCTCTTAATGTGGCAGTTTGATATATTTATGAGGAATTGGAAGGTTTCCTTTACATGTGCTTTGTTTTGGGAGCTTTTGTGTTTGCTTCTGGATGAAAAATTGAATACAGGTATCTGGCTCTGGAGGGAGGAGAAGGAGTATTGAACTTGTAGGGAGGCTGTTGCAGCAAAGTTTTCCTTGGATTTCTTTGCACTGAACATAACTGTGGTGGTCCCCTGTGTTCACTAAGACGTGTCCCCAAGTGATGTGTCCCCTGCCTCCGAGTGTGACTAAAGAAGCTGCTGTACAGTAGTTGTTGACTAGGATAGTCTTGTGGTTACAGATTTTGGAAGAAATCTCAAAGTTTTCCAGTGACTCACAGTTGTGAAAATTAAATCCCATCAGCTACACTTAGGCTTGAAAAAAAAAAAAAAAGGCTCATTAAGGGAGAAAAATTAATCAGTTTGTATAAAGGAATGAAATGCAGCGTTTTCCCAGAGCTGGCTTTTCATGGTTTGAGGTGTTTTGGATAGTTAGTAAAAAATTCATACTTTCAAGTTTCTTTCCACATATTTCTTAGACTGATTTTTTCCTTTTCTTGACTGAAATTCCATTCTCTTGAAATTTATAGAAATTTGAGGAATTAAGAGCAGTGTGCTGTGTGTCTCGGGTTTGCTTAGTGCACCAGGGCAGATAGCAATAGATGTGCAGAACTAACTTGATTAAACAACCTAATCACTAAACTAGTTAAGGAAAATAATATTTGAAAACTCTTCAAATACTGCATATGTGACATTTAGGACTGAARTATTTAATATGTTACAATATTTCTACCCATTTAAGAACTTCAAAATCTCTGGTTTTGTAATGCTGAAAATAGTTGCAGGCAGAGTTGTGTGATCATGTCACCATATATGATACACATGCTGTGGGAAATATTGCTTGACTTACAGTTAGGTGTTACAAAGTAAATTCAGTATATCCAAGCATAGCACAAAATTCAGGACATAAGGAGGAGGAAGAGGGAAGGGTGTTCTCAGAGAATTTGATCCTCCTCTAAAATGGGTTTAATTTGAGGGTGTAATCCGGATGCTGATGAGAGCAGTGAAAGATGAATATTGTTTAGGGTTGTTTTTTACAAACCGAGTTACTCTCCTTACGTACAAAACTGAATTCTTCTTCTAGGGACAATGTGGTGCTTAATAAAAATAGAAGAAACTTTCAGAGCTGCTTTGCTTCTAGTAGTTAAGATGATCTTTTCTGTTATGCCTTGCTCTGGTTCTAGACATTATTCAGTAAGATTTTCAAAATTTTCTGAAATTTTAGCACCTAAGAAAACAAATACTTGCTTACAAGTTGTTGCTGGCAAAGTTGCGTCTGATTTTGTAGGTAAATTGGGGAGATTTAAAATTAATGAAATCTTTTGTAGATATTTATGAATCCTACTGAMTAGTGTTTTAAAGTTAGTAACTACAGTATTCTGCAGCACTTCAACAAATGCAGGAATCTAAAGTCTCAGGCATTAAACTTTTCCTGAGTGATTAGTTCAAGAGTGTTTCTTGGTGTGTGCATTTCATTTAGTAATTAGMCAGAAAAATTGGTTTTACCCTGTAGACCTTTGAGATTTAAATTAAGATTTTTTTTTTTWAATTTTATGCAGTTCAAAAAGACACTACATAAAAAATGTAGCCGCTTCTAATGGTCGCCCACCTCTGCAGTTAGTCAAAATGGTGCTCTTAAGTCTCCTCCTCTCCGGGCTGTGCATATGTTTTAAAATTAATGGGATAAAGAAGGCACTGCTCATGTTCTAAATAAACTCCTGGTTTTAGCTGTTTAAGGTTATTTTTGTTAAAATAGATG